GAGTTAAATTCGAAATTAGATTTTTCAAGGGTAAAATGTTATATTCATTCAAACATCGTAAGGTAATCTATAATTAAGGGAGTATGAAAAATAGGTATACCCTGGTAAGGAACAATGACAAAAAAATTACAAAAACGTATTCATCTTTAAATAGTGTTTATTATTAATATTATTATTTGCTATGTTTCAAAAGTACCTCCTGCTGCAGAGCAGATCGAATAGATTAGACGACTAGTTGGAGAAGGTCCACCTAGTCACCAAATTAGGAGACTAGGAAAACTTTTACATGACTGGGGACACAACAGGAATGCACACGCACAAGATGCACACGCACAAGATACACAAACAGACGACATAACAGGGGTAAGCCTTCAGCAACGTCCTGTTTAAATGATGATAGTATGCCATCCTTCATTCCCTTTTAGAAGGCATGGCATATAAATCTATTGATCTTGATGACCCTAAGAGGAGTTAGCAGGGGGGTCTACGGAATGGGTCTAGCAGGTTTCGATCCAGTTTACAGGATGGGAACTTACTCGACTCGGGCCTTATACATTTGTGTGAGTGTATGTGTGTGTTTGTTTCGTTTCCATGCTTTCTATTAAAATAAACAGTCATAAACATATTGATACCTTTTTGCCAGACTAACGTAAGCGATATTTGTTCAAATGGCACCTATGATAGTCTGTCAAAAAGGTGCCGATATACCCTATACTTTATAAAATATTTGTTACATTATTTTTTAAATATATTATGAATATTTAACAACTGTGACTTTCTTGTAATTTGTCACAAAATGATACGAGGTACTTTCTAAACGTAGCAATTGTAGTTTGTTTTTCTGTACCTTACAAAAATATAATTTATAGAAAAAGAGTTTGGTGTATTATTTTTCCATTTTTTAAATATTTAATAATCAATAGAATTTTCAATTTTTTTTTAGCGAAATTTACAAGAGTAATAAAAACTATGTTCACTGCTTATATTAAACTGATTAAAACTTCTTTTATTAAAATGATTATTTATATTATAAAAATTTGATTTTATTGGGCTTTTATATTTTTTAATATACAGTGAAACAATAGTTTTTGTTTCTCCTGTAAATTTGTATAAAAAAACTATTTATTTCTGAATCCATGTTTGAATATCCCGCCCTAAAGCATTTTTAATTTTCCCGCTATTTACTAGTGGCGCCATCATAGACTGGTTGTGGTTACAATCCCCCAGGCAACTTTTACCGAACAAAAAAAATACATTGAGTTACACGTCTCGCTGGGTTGGGTAAAAAAGTTATTTTAGCATCATTTCAATGTTGGCCCATCTTTTTTTAACTGGAAGATAACCATGCGCAAACAAACTTGCTATTATTCTATGGAATTTAACTCTGAAAACGTTTATTTTTGTCTGGAAGTTGTCCCGTCAAAATTATTTTCGATATATTTTGAGAATTGAAAAAATTTATTTCATTGACAATAATGGGGAAACGAGGGTCAATCCTGTAAAAAAAATTTTGCAATGTTGTGGGGCAAAGTTAAGGGATCTGTTAACACTAATTGAAAAAAAAAAAAATAACCCGGTGCTCCTGCTAATAAGGACATACTTCTAAGTATAACAAGTCCTCTACCCAACATAGATTGACATGGAACAGTTATCTCATTTTTTACTGACTTATGTAATTTTTTTCCCAACCTATTTTTAGAAATTATCACATTGTAGACTTTCTTTTCGGATTTAAAAACTTCAACATTAATGTTCTTTTCTTCGGGATTAGTTTGGCAAGTCTGGCAGTTGATGTTTTGCATTTTAAAGAGAGAGCTCTACTTAGATAGGTATAACCATATTCATACCATATTTGCGGCGGGGGGTAAAAAATCAAAGTGCTTTCTTTACTTCTCTTGATTCACCTCATGAATACGCTATATAGCTATCGCTATCGCGCCTCTCTTCCAAAGCCCTTATACACGACCTTGGCTGTCAAAGGGACTACTTATGTATAAATCATACTTTGGTGGATTTTTATTTAATGCCAATGAGGAGGGATTCTAACTTCATTTAAATATAAATAGATATAAACAAAGTGCTATTTTATATTTCAGATGCAATCTTGTTTCGTGTTAATATGGTTAGCTAGAGGGCGAATAAACGAATTACTTCAATATGGGTGAGTTGAAATATTTTAAATTCCTAAGTATATTTAAAATTTGTAATTATTATTAGTTATGACGGTTTTTTATGCGAAAATACAAAAATATAGGATAATAAATTGGTACTAACTGATTATTTAAAAAAATATGTTTTATCATGAGTATTTTAAATAAATTTTATTTTTAATTCGTATTCTTAAATTTTTTTGATTAAATCGACCGTACTCGCAATATATTTGATAACTTTATATTAAAGTCATGTAGTGGACATGGGCGTCGTTTGGGGGGGGGGGGGGGGGGCGGCAGTTGGCTTTTACGACTTTACAACGCGTAATGGCTATATGTCACAATACTAAATTAAGTACTAAAATTTAGCCCTAAATTAAGTTATTAATTTAGTACTAAATTTAGAACTAAAATAATTTTTTTCTTTTTGCAACGATACCAATTTTTAGTACTAAATTAAGTATAGGCGCACGCGCATTGACGTATTATTACGTGAAGTTAGCACAGAAATGAAACATTCTGTGTAAATGAGACAAGTGAATTAAAAGATGTTTCTATTATGATTTTGACACTAGTTGACTTGACAACAACCAAATGCAGCAATGCTACTAAAAACCACGAAAAAACACAATAAAACCTACAAAATCAAACACAAGCGAAATTTATCCAAGGCGATAATGCAAAGTTGTCGCTAACCAAAATCAAAATAGTGCAAAAAAGACCGTAGCCTTTAAAATGATTGAATTGTTTAAGGAAATTATTTTTCATTTTCTTTGTTTTTCAACAAATAAACATTCTAAATTTTTTCAAAATTTTGCCCCTTCCTATAGAATTGTGTAACGACGCCCATGGTAGTGGACACATCTTTTTTTTATTTTGAAAGCATAAATAATGTTTAAATGGAATTATTCTTAGAAATGGGATTACAGAACAAATTGTAAACAAATATGATGGTAGTCTCGTTTAAATTTTTTTTGTTAGGGGCGACTTGGGCTTAAAAAAGGGCAGACGGGAATTCCTACTTCATATTATCAAAACGATTTCGAGAAATGTTTGGCACATTATTCGTTCTTAAAAAGATATGGCGATTGTCGATTGTTATAATACAGGCTTGATTGGTAAGTTTAATCAAAAAAAACTAGTCAGAAATCAAATACCTTGCAACTTGCTCAAAATATGTTTTTTTTTTAAGAAACCAGTTTAGTATTGAAACATTTTCTGTTGTATTCATTGAGTTGTGCTTTTATCTATTTTTGCAATAATAGGAAACATATAATGTAAATTGTTATCACATTATATATAGATTGAGCTGAAAAATCTTTATTAAAATTTGTAGGTTTGTCTACTTTTATCTATGTTTATTGTTTTTTTTTAAAGCTACCATGACTTATCACTTCTGTCTATTTTTTAACTAATTATCGTCAAATACCTACCTCACTAAACCTGCCTACTTTTTCATGATTAATTATTATTCCAATAATTATAATTTTTGCCTAAAACTGATAGATACAGGTGTATGAGCTCGGGAAATAAACCGCATAAAATATGTCTATAATATATAAATTCCCATAATATTACTACATTAGCTCCATTCATTTCGAACTGGACAGCACGTGCCCAACGAGCAATATATCACGTGTCAGCCCTAAATGCAAATGAGCAACAAGTGGCTACTCAGCTCGTTTACTATCACACCATGCCTATTATGGGTCTTTCACAATAGGTATCTTAGGTAATGGAAATGTGTATACCTACTATAGTGATCAGTGAACAGGAACCGCAAACGTAAATATTTAAATAACCCTTTATTTGTAAACAATAGGTTTATTATTTAAGGGATTGGTATGTAGGTAATTTTAAAAAAAAACTGTTGTGAATTTGTGTTATAAAATATTAAAGATTTAGATAGATACATAAAAAATTATACAACGAAATGCTATCCAATTTGGTACATAATTTCCATGTGTAGTTTCATAGAAAATACAGGATTTTGAATAGGTATGCATCGCGTGTAAATAGATATTACCTAACGGAAAATTTTAAAAAGAAAATATTTTCCTGATTTTTAGTAAGTATAGGTATGTGATATTAATAATTGTGTATTATGTAAGTACCTATACAAGTATCAGGTAATAATTAATTATTTAAAAGTTGTTAACTAGTCACAAAATAGAATTTTAAACATTCATAAAATTACTTAAAATAAATTATTCAGCAATGATCAGATTTCCAGGGACTTGCAAGACATTGGAAAGAACTTTATGAAAAATTTAATATGTTCACAGAAAACGAAAAAAATGCGATGTACTTAGGTACATTAGACCGAAAAAGTTATTTTTTTTATTTGTATTTGAAAATTTCATATTTTTATCTCATAATTCTAGACATTGAAAAATATGCCGATGACAGGTTGTTAGATCATATTATACATGTATAACTAGACTGGTATGTATTTAGGCTGTACTACTTATGATGCGAACTTAATTTAGTAGGTAGACAAAAATGCGCTAGGATCTATAGGTGTAAACTTTGAATTCACTATATAGAGAACAGTTGTAGAAAAAGAATACTATTATACCATTATTACTACTTATCGTTGAAAATAATACAGTACTATAGCATTGTCTGTAAAGTTTGATTAAAGTAATAAAATAAACAAATCAAGTAGAAATGTCCAGGCATTTGAGGTTATGTTTACAAACAATTGGGTTATTCTGGAGAGCAATTTTTTTGCAGTCGAAAATCTTTCGAATATTGAAGCAAATTATATTTAGTTGTAATTGGTATTGGAACTCACCGATAATATGGGAAAGCTTGCGGCACATGTAAATCAATGGGTGTAGCAGGGTGATGGGTGGCGTAAGAGTGATGGTCCCTAGTTTGCATCATACTGGTGGCTGCTGCCGCCGCGACGGCGGCAGCGGCTGTATGCTGATGCCCCAGTACTGCCGCCCAGGGCGAGGAAGGGAACCCTCCCGGGTGCTCCAGCTCGGAGGTGCACCTACGCACAGTCACACTGAAGTGCATGCAGAATATGCACCCACTCGCACTCGTTCTCGCACCGCACGCGGCACTCTTAGATCATGCAAAACAATTAGCTATAGCAAATCGGTGAGATCAGATTCGTCCGTCGCTACCGTCTGCGGTTTACACCCCGGTGTCTCGAGCCTAACATTGGCGATGTATACCTACCTCAAGCTAAAGGCTAAGATAAACTTAAACTATAACTAAAACTAAGATGCTGCCGTGTTACTAGCGAGTTCTCCTCACTGAGATCTCGGGCGTTTCGATGAAATTCGAGAGAGCGGTCGCTGTTCAGTGTTCTGTTATGAATAACTGAAGGAGTTAGCGAGGGCGGGCTGCGTGCGTGCCCAGGGGATCACGTGACCGCGTGGCCGACTCCCGTACGGCCGACCGGCGGTCGCGAAGCCCGCCTATGTGCGGTACTCCCACTCGAGGCGTGTTTCCAACTCTCAAACTAAGGTATTGCTTGCCGCACCTGAGGTGAGAGACGGCTATGCGGGCTACGGCTGTCGTCTTATATTCCATACAGCACGGCACAGTTCTTTCCCGAATGCATCGTAGTATAGTTGAGTCGGGAAATAATGGGCAGTAATAGAATGTGTGTAAAACGCTGCCATCTATCATTACGCTAAAGTTCTGTCAAGATTTCGGGGGATACGGGGGCAAAAAAAATGTTTTCAGTGGCAGCCACAGCTATTGGAGCTATGTGAAGCTGGCCCCCCGAAATTCTAAAATTTTAATTGTAAAAGCGGTATGCGTTTGACCATCTATTGACCACCCAGTAACTTTTGTTGACCACCCTTGGAAACATAAATATAAAAAAAAAAATTAAAGGCCGAGTGCCCGCTGGCCCCCCGAAGTTTATAGAGAACTGACCAATTTTTTGACCATGTTTGATCATTAGATTTTTTTAGCCGCCCCTTAAAATAATTTCAAGTAAATTATAGAAAAACAAGAATTCTGGCATAAATTACAACTTTGAAAAAATTACGAACCGTCAGGAAGGCACAATTAATATCCATTAACAGTTAAAATTAATTTGAATTATTTGACCACCTTATAAAATAATTCAAAAGACCTCAGAGGGGGTCAAAATTCGAAAAAACAATTTCAATATCAAATTTCGACTTAGAAAAAATGATCAATCGACATAAGGGCACAATAAAGATGCATAATGGTTTAGACGTATGACCAACTCCTAAAATTATTATAATGAGCCTAAAAATTTGAAAAATACAATTTCTTCCTAAGGTGCATGCAGTTTTGAAAATATTAATTTTGGGGGGCAGCGGCACTCGACCTTTAATTTTTTTTTATTTTTATGTTTCTGAGAATAGTCAAAAACAGTTACTGGGTGGTCAAACATAGTTAATAGGTTGTTAAACGCATGCAGCTTTTAGAAAAAGTTTTATAATTCGGGGGGCCAGCTTAATTCAGCTATTTATATTGGATAATGCATATGGCAACTCTGTCGGCATTCTTCATAAATTCCTATCATTCTATTACTGTCTACCTTTGTATTATATGTTATACACTATTAATGATGCCATTAAATAATGCAATAGGGGGTGAATAATAAAAAAACAGAAAGTTCTTTAAAGCCCTCATAGGCATGGGCGTCGTTTGGGGAGGGGGGGGGGGCAAGGGGGGGGGGCAGTTACCCCCCCTGGCTTTTACGACTTTACAACGCGTAATGGCTGTATGTCATAATACTAAATTAAGTACTAAAATTTAGCCCTAAATTAAGTTATTAATTTAGTACTAAATTTAGAACTAAAAATATTTTTTTCCTTTTGTAACGATACCAATTTTTAGTACTAAATTAAGTATAGGCGCACGCGCATTGACGTATTATTACGTGAAATTAGCACAAAAATGAATTATTCTTTGTAAATGAGACAAGTAAATTAAAAGATGTATTTATTATGACTTTGACACTAATTGACTGGACAACAACTAAATGCAGCAATGCTACTAAAAACCACGAAAAAACACAATAAAACCTACAAAATCAAACAAGCGAAATTTGTCCAAGGCGATAAGCAATAACAGTTGCTGTGTTGTAAATTGTAAAAATTCTAGCAGTAAAAACAGTGTAAATTATATAAATTTTCAATAGCAAAATGGAAATTAAATCAGAGAAATAAATGAATAGCTGTACACTAAGAAGAAAAAAAACCTTTATTTTTGTAATAATAACAATGATACTGGAAATAGTAGACAACAGAAAATTGAAAGGTTTTAAATAAACAATAAATTATTATTTTACAATGTTGTTCAACATCCCTTAACTCTTAAATGTCGAGCAAGGATTATATTTCTGCCTTTGATTATTGTATGTGGCTGAAATGCAATCTTGTGACTTATTGATAGGAAACAGTGGCAGCTCGTGGGGGGTTCACAGTGACAGAATATAGGTATCAGTACAGATGTATAAAAAAAACTTTCAGTGCTTTAGAAAGTTTATAATATACCTTTCTAAAACACTGACAGTTTTTTACCTATATCTGTACCGGGATCTATATTCTGCTACTGTGAACCCCCAAAATTTTGGTCACAAGCCGCCCCTGAATAGGAAACCAATTTTAATCATTAATTTCTATGGGTTTTTTCAAACTAAAAGTAAAGAAAATATAAATTACAATCGCAAATTTACCAATTATTTTTGTTAATACGTTTTGAGACTACGTTATTATATAATGGTAATGTTTTTATTTTCACATTATTTAATCTTTTCTTCAATGACAACTTATTAGGCTTATGCAACATATACATTTTCTCGTAAATATATAATAATAATAATAATAATAATAATAATAATAATAATAATAATAATAATAATAATAATAATAATAATAATAATAATAATAATAATAATAATAATAATAATAATAATAATAATAATAATACTCTCCCTAATTCACCCCTTTACATGTGAATTTTAACAGGTGAGGAAAACCCGGAAAACTCCACCCACCATCATCGAAAACGGTAATGCATGGTGATTTTATTTTAATAATCTGGATGTCATATCAACAGATATTAAATTTCTGCTAATATGCCATCCATCAAATCCTATAGAGAACCATGCAAATACATTCACATGGTCTTCCGTAGGATCTGAAATCGTGTCTCGTTTTACCAGAAAATTGGCTGACAAATGAATGCCGCGCCGTAGACACCTACACCACCGTAGTCGATATTACTGCCTGCCTATGTTTTATTTATTATTGATTATACTACTTTTTTTAGCTGAAGTACCTAATAAAAATATATAATAAATAATTTTTTCACTTGTTTTACAAATCTATATACTTTTATTAAAAACAACATATATATTTTTAAATTCCATTAAAAATTGCATTGTCAGTTTACGCAAATATCGTCCGTTAGTTCATAAATTTGTTGGCGCTGCTGTCACGCACAGAGCGAATAATGAATGAAAATAGGCTGACTGCCCTTTGCATGATGAACGTACATCGAAAAATAATCGCAAAAAACTAAAAAGAAATCATGTTTTCTGTTGTCGATTATTTTAGGTAATTAAAAATTTGCGTTTTCCTAGTGTTCGTCGACGTGTTTGAGTGAGTTAATTTGTTTTTGTGTTTCTATAAATATTATGTATGGCTCTGTCTTCTTATTCATATTTTTCTTTTATATCACATCTTCTATTTGTTTTTTAAAAATATGTGTTTTAAGTTTCTTGTTTTTTTTATTTTAGTTTTGTCTTTTTTGTTGGGTTATTTTATTTATTAAAAACTTTTGTTAATTTGTATTGCTCTTTTATTTTTCATTTTCTCTGTTTTTCAACTAATAAACATTCTAATTTATTTCAAAATTTTGCCCCTTCCTATAGAATTGGTAACGACGCCCATGCTCATAGATATGTTCGTGAGGTATAAAATATTTTATTTTCGTTTCTTCAATCTATAATTTAATTTAATGTTTGACTGTAGATAAGAGAAAATACCTATATACCCATTCTAGCGATTGGAGTTTTAGTTTTTGACAAATATCGGGACATTTTTGAGTTTTTTTAGTCAGTTATGTTTTAAGCATTTTTTATAAAATGTAATTTTTGACAGATCTTGAATTTTTTTAAGATATTCTTTACCTATAGACATTTTGTGTTTCTTTATTTTCGTATTCCATGTAATTTTTTCCCACCTTCTCATTTTTTGAGAATATTGTTGCAACATAAAACTCCGTTTTTTTTCAAGTTTTAAAATAATTAGGTATGGAAATTATTAATATATTTTTTACGTAGATATACTGAAACAGTATAAATGAACCATTTTTAAGAAATAAATGGTACAAAATGTTCGGTTAGACACCCTCCCTTTATTAGCAAAATCGCTTACACTATTTAGCACACGCTTGTTCATTTATCTTTCACCCTGCTGCCCTACTTTTCCTATTTTATACGACCAGAGAGAGACTGGGGTTGATCTGAAATTGATGTCCTCCCTCACTACATATATTTAAATAAGATTTTTCTTTCATATAGATACCTAATAATGATTAAATAATTTCTCTTAATATAGTGAAAACATATAGATAAACCATGATATAATAATAATGTAATAATAATTGTAATTTTCGGCCATTGAATTGTTTTTAATAGATTCCTACTATCAAAAAAATATATAGATATATATTCCAAAACTTTCGTACTTTTTTTTTGTTACGACTGAAAAAAAGAATTTAAAATACAAAATTAAATACCTATATATTTTTGTCTACTTATACTTCCACCCCCTGCAGCGCGAGGACTAACTTGTGACCATACCTATGCAAAGTTTTGATAAAACGAAGAAAAAACAGCGGCCCATTCCGTGTACGTGATGATTGCGTTGAACGGGTTGCAACCACGTGAGGCGCATCTTTCAACAGCTTTTCATTCATGTTACTGGTTTGCTATACCAGGAGAATACAAATTATCATATGGGTACTCAGGATTTTCCCACCATACACACACAGCATAAAATGCATTAAACGGTTTTGTCCGGTGTGACAGGCGCGAATTTAGGGGAATGGGCAGCAGCCGACCCCCTAAACAAATTATTCTTGACGCAAATGAGAGGGCGCTCTCCCCTCCCAAATTCATTATAGACGGTCGTGAAGTTAGCACTACCACTATGAAATTTTGGATTTTTGAATATTAGAGAATTTGTTGCTGTTTTTTTGGTAAATTTGTCGTGAAAAAA